AGTGGGACATAGCCTTAAGATTGTTGTTAGATAACAAGATATAGCGGAAATAATACCTTTAGAAGATATAACTTAGATTTAAAATTTTCGTTTAATTAAGAGTTGTCAGGACCCCCTGGATAATGGGACCTAGCTTTCAAATTCTTAGTAATATTTGGTAATATGATTCAGTTTAACACTCACATATATGCCCAGCTACCAAACTGGGGCAGAAAATTTTTCTTTGTTTTGTCTATTTTTATTGAAATCAGGTACCCACTTGGAGAACAGGGAGAAGCAGTTCAAGTTCAGCAGTCAGGCACCCACCTGGAGAGCACGGGAATACAATTCAAGTTCAGCAGTCAGGCGCCCACCTGTAGAGCACGGGAATACAATTCATGTTCAGCAGTCAGGCGCCCACCTGGATAGCACGGGAATCCAATTCAAGTTCAGCAGTCAGGCGCCCACCTAGAGAGCACGAGAATACAATTCAAGTTCAGCAATCAGGCGCCCACCTGGAGAGCACGGGAATACAATTCAAGTTCAGCAATCAAGAGCCCACCTGGAGAGCACGGAAATACAATTCAAGTTCAGCAATCAGGCGCCTACCTGGAGAGCACAGGAATACAATTCAAGTTTAGCAGTCAGGCGCCCACCTGAAGAGCACGGGAATACAATTCAAGTTCAGCAGTCAGGTGCCCACCTGGAGAGCATGGGAATACAGTTCAAGTTCAGCAATCAGGCGTCCACCTAAAGAAAGGGAAAACATCTCAGATTACAATTCAAGTTGGCAACAAATCAACATGGCAACAAGAGCTGCAAGATCAAGTTTGAAGATATAGATAGGATTCTTGTAATGCGTAGATCATAGTCTAGTCTAGTTTCTTTTTATTTTGACATGGTGTATAACGAGTTCAGTAAGCAGTAGCAACTGCAGCAACAACAGTGAAATCAAAGATTCATGGTAGTCCTAGCTACCAAACATTCCCGAACTATATTGACTTGATTCCTTTATAGCCAAAGATATGTAGGCAATCTCGGAAGTAGGGTGCGGTCAAATCTTTCAAAAATGCTTCCCATGGAGTATTCAAACGGGCAAAAATCTCTCGTATACGCTCACTTTATTTTTGCACAAAAACTGTTCGTGTTTTCGAGCAAAGAGGGGCAGCTGTGAGCACATGATTTTTGCCCTATGTGAATTACTCCCATAAATTCAAAACAAAATAATTTTCCATTATTTGTAATTTTGTGGATTTTTCTAGTATTTTTTTGTTACTATTTGCATATTGTTTGTGCATGTTAATTTTGCTTAATTAATGAAAAATACAAAATATACGTGGCATTTGCATTTAGGATTTAATTCAACATTTTCTGATTAATTAGTAAATTAGTTGTTTTATTAAAATGGAAAAAAAATCACAAAATAGTTTAATTTGCACTTTGTAATATTAATTTTGACTTTTGTGTAGTTTTTCTTTTAATTTGTTTTTTTAAATTAATTGTGATAATTATCATTTAGGTTTAATTAGTAATTTTTTTAGGTTAATTAGGTTCTAGGGATTAATTTAGATTTTAACTTAATGTTGAAAAAAAAGAGAAAAATTAGAATGAAGAAAATTGAAAGGAGATATAAAAAGAAATGAGAGTTTATTTTTTGGGTTGTTTTAATTTAACTCCCAAGCCCAATTCCCTTTTACCCGTTCAAAATCCAGCCTGATTCTCCCAATACCCAGTCCAATTCCGTCTCCCAACCAAACGACGCCGCTTTAACTCGGCAAATCTGGGCCTTTCAATTTGTTTCATCCAACGGCCCCAGAACTGTCTTTCTTCCTGATTAAAAATGTCTGAAAACCCTCAGAGACACTCAGTTCACTCCAAATCCCTCGACACTTCGTCTCTTCCACAACAAAGCCCTAATCCGCCATTGTTACGGTGTTCCAGCTCCAAATTACCCCAAACTCTTCCTCCACAACACTCACTCACCCTTGACCCCTAAGCCATCACCATAATCCCTCAAATCCCCACCAAATCGGGTCAATTCTAGATCTAAAAGGAGGAAAAGAAGAAAGATAAAACCTCCCCAAATCTTCGAGCTTCAAAGAACGATTAGGGATGAAATTGCCATTGGTCGCTTGTTCTCGACGAGAACACTCGATTGATGCCGATTTCGGGTCAAATCGAAGTCCGCTTGAGGTTTTTCAAGCCCGTCCACTTGCAAATAGGTATTTCAGATCCTTCTTATGTTTCTCTTAGTCGTTCAGTTCCAGTTCATGCCCTGTTTGTCACATCTCTTCTGCTCTCTATCATTTTCTTCCTCGTTCTGAGTCAGTTATGCCTGCATGCTTAAAAACTTGAGAGTTATTAGTTCATGTTTGTTTAAATTTATTAGTTCTGTCGTCTTTATTTCATTATGTTTCTCTCTTGTTTAAGTAAATTCTGAGTTTGTGGGGGAGTAATTTCCTTTAACCCATTAGTCTTTTGAGTTTGATTTTGGTTTGGGCCTTGTTGATCCGAGGCCCAAAGGGAAGGGGAAGAACTGGTTTGGTAAAACCCAGGTAGGCTGGGTATTTGGGTCAGCTTGTCCCAGTTGGTTTTAATGGTAAATGTCAAGGGCATGGAGGATAGTTTAGGAATTTGGATTAAGGAATCTTTAGTGTAACTGAAAAGGAAGCATCCTAGAAGCTCGGGAGGGGGACTGTCTTGCAAATCCGATAATTAACTAAGGTTAGTTAAGCTAAAATGAAAATTGGGGAAGGGCTGAAATGAAAATCTGATTTCTCTATTGTTGCCCTATTGCCTTGCCTATAAAGGCTCATTTCCTTGCCATTCAAGGCAGAGTTTAGGAGATAATAACTTCAGAGATTAAGAGATAAAAATAGAGAAAAAACAAAAAGCGGCTGGATTTCCAAAATAAATCATTGTTCCATTGAACATTTTCTTTGATTTTTGAGTTTTTGATTTCTGAAATGGTGTCTGATTCTGGGGTTTGAAGTGATCTGAATTTGAGTCTTGGAAAGAGTTTTAGCTTAAAATTTCTGCTGGTTGAATATTGTTTCATTGGTTTCATCTTGGGTTAATTTCACTCTTTCAAGTGATTGAATCTGAGGTCATATGTTGTGCTGTTTACTGCTACTACTCTCACTCCCTCTGTTATTTGGCTTTTCAGGTATTCCCTGACTCTATGAAAGATGAGATGCAAGTATGAAAGTTGTAATTGCCTGAAGATTCTATAAATGAATATTGTTCCCTTAATCATAAATGTTAGCTATTTTCTTAGTATTTCTGAAGTTAGTGTTGTAGTGTAACAATGATTAGCTTACCTGTTCATTTTTGATATAGTAGTAATATAATGTTTCCTAGGAAATCCATGTTGCATCCTGTCTTAATAGGAAACATGAGGTCTAATAGTCTGTTGAGGTGTAAGTAATTCAGAACATTTGAAACCATTTTGTGTATGTGGATTGTTGGTTATGCTATCCATATCTAATAGTATAAATGTATCCATTCATGTGGTTAAGCTCTGTTGCTTTCAACTCTTAAGTTATCATGTGGGTTTTTAAAGGGTTGAGGTGTGTTCGATTGAAAAGTGTGATTATTTATTCCTGAAACTGAAGTCTTAGGATTGATATTCTAATTGGTGCACGTCCATTGATGCTTAATTATTAAGTATATGTATTTGCTTGAAAAATGAATTTTGGCTTGGTTGAACATGCAAAGGTCTGGTTGTAAGTTTGAGTCGAAAGCATATGGATCATTGTGGTAGGAATCACAAATTAAACCACGTTTGCTTTCATGCTGGCTCAGTTTGTCAATTCATCTTTACATTACCAATATGATTTCATGTTAAACAGAAGCCATAGTTTATTTTTAAATTAACTTGTGGTCATTTGAATTGGCTAGATTAGGCATTGAGTTCTTTTCAGGTAATTGTGAATTAAGTCATATGTGCAATGTCGTTTGGGGCCAAATGGATTGATTGGTCAAGTAAAGGCATAGTGGCCTTCGAATTAGCTTTATAAAACTTGGGAATTGGATTCACTCGGCTTGCTTTAAATAATCCGATGCTTGCAAGTTTAAGGACTCGATCTGGAGTCCTGCCTCCCACTGGTGCCCAGGTTTTCCGAGGATTTGGGCTCATGATTGGGCTTGAGTTGGAAATCAGTTGCTTCTCTTTATAGGGTTGGTGGCTCGAGCCCAAGAGAATCTATTCTCCCGATTGATCTGTTAATTTAAAGTTAGTTCAATTTCTTAGGCCAAAGCTTTGATAAGTCTTCCCCTTCAATTAATTAGATTCCCTATATGAATTGGAGGTGAGCCATACTAGGTGACACACACAGTGTATGGCCCTCGTAATTTAATATAGAAGCCTCTTGATTAGAATAAGTCGAGGCGCGCCGTGCCAAACAAAAATGACAATTGCATGGCCTTCGTTCAATTAATTTTATTTTAATCCTTAGAATCCGAGGCGTGCCATTTAGTTGAACTTCCGTGGCCCTCGCAAAGTTGCAAATGCGTAGTTGATTTAGGCACGTCATAAAATTAATTTCCTAAACTCGGATGCGCATTTATGTGACCCAAATCCAAATCTCAACGTTAGATTAAATGTGTTGCAGACTGCGGGTGCATTTATGTGACGTGGTTCGAGACATATTTTAAATGACGTTGCAATCTTCCTTTAAAAATGAATAGAAGCGGTTAAAAAGTTAAAATTGCACATAGGATTAAACATGTTTAAAATCAGATAATTAGGCCAATAATAACAATTGAGCGACCGTGCTAGAACTACGGAACTTGGGAATGCCTAACACCTTCTCCCGGGTTAACAGAATTCATTACCTGGATTTCTGGTTCGCGGACTGTAATACAGAGTCAACCTTTTCCTCGACTCGGGATTTGAACCGGTGACTTGGGACACCATACTTATCCCAGGTGGCGACTCTGAATCTTTTAATAATAAATTTCATTTAGATTGTCCTTTAATTGGAGAAACTCTCTCATATGCCCCTTCCGGGGGTGTAGGTAAAAAGGAGGTGTGACAGTATTTACACAAAATACAAATAAAAATAAATCAATGAGTCTCACAGCCTGTGTGCTTCAGTGCAGCCGCTGGCCTGAGGCGCATACCCTGTCGCCCGGGTACACTATCAGGATCATCATCATCAAGTCACCTCTTTATGTGAGGATGCACAGTAGCATCGTTAGTACAGTTAGCAGGATCGGTAGAAGGGGTTGTCGGGCCGTCAGTAACCTACAAAAATATTTTCTCACCATGGTCTCGTCGGGCTCCTAAGTATAAGCATCTGTGGTGTCCTCATCATCGCATACAGTGGCCTCCGTGATGGGCCGGGATGAAGCCTTAATAAGAAAATTAAAAATTAATTATGGAAAATTATTAAGGAAAAGAAAACAAATTAAAATTTTACAGTAATACATACCTGCGCTTGTGATAGATCTGCATCAACCGCCGGGGATTAACCAAAACTCAACCTGCGCCTGCCATCCACGTCTCGGGTCGGCCGATCCTCAGTTGCGATAGATGGTCCTGAAAAGAATTGGTCTACATCTCTGTCGAATGTACCCGTGATCAACAATGGATTTGACGGGGTGACCTGCGATGCTGGTAGATCCAGCTGAAGGTTGTACGACGGCATGTTGCTGGAAGGCTCGTCTAGCTGAGGGAAATAACCCGGTTGATCATCTCCAAGATCCTCATCAGGTGCCTCAACAGGTGAGTCGACAAGTGCCTCAACGCTCCCTTGCTGGGGACCACCTCCTCACCGTCCCCTGCGACCTCGTGGGGCACCCCTGCCTCGTGGGGCAGCCCTCGCTCGTGCCTGACCCCTGCCTCGTGGGATAGGCCTACCCCGATGGTGCTCCTCTGGTGCCGTATACTCAGCCTCGTGATCTAACCTCTCGTCCTCTCTGGCTCGCTGCAGTGTCCGGAGAGCCAACTCTACCACCCGCCGGCCATACTCAACGATTTCAAGATTGTCGGCATGCTGTTGCATCTCCTATCCCAACTGGTAGACCATGTGATGCCCAATAGCCTGCATAACATTTAAAATATTTATTACATAACGCTATATCACATTTATAAGTATGGGTTCCAACAAAAACATACCAGTGCCTCATGCCTCCCGGCGTATGGTCTGAACCGACCGCCAGGTACATGAACGGGGTTCCCGATCATCAGTCAGGTGTGACGGCAGTACCATGATGTATAGAACTCAATAGTTGCCGCCTGGATCTGTGAAGGTGGTGGCGGAATCAAGTCCTCTCGCTGCTCCCAAGTATGAACCTGCGCCTCTAGCCATCCTACAAATGCGTCGTCCACCCTCGAACGATCCTCCCGTTGATAATTTATAGCCACCTATGCAGGCTCCCTCGGTATAGTCTGGGGATGGTCAAACTGGCGACGTACCCGCTCTGTGGCATGATGCTCCACAACATTGAGGCACATCAGCAGGACGGAAGTGCTCTAAAGCTATCGATCGATCGAGCAATAATCGGGCAGATCAACTATCAACTCGTCGTTGTATGGCGTCCAGATGAACTATCAAATAATAACATAAAAGTGGGTATGTGCAACACAAGTGAATTTATAACAAGTAAGTTTAGGTACATATTTACCTGTGCCGCCTCCAGCATATCCAACACATCCCAGACAAGAGGGAGATTATGATGAGCATCACTACCTCGGTAGTTCCCACGCCGGAGAACCCACCTCCTAGCTAGAGGGAGAAACAGAGGTGATACATCCGGCTCTAATGGTGGTAGAGATGGCTGCAACGGCAGTACCCGCTCCCAGGCCCAAACCTAAGATAAAAGGTTGACGTAAAATTTAAGAGTCATTTTGACTATATAGAATTCGAAGTAATGAACAGAGTATTTGAATATGTTGTCACTTGTAGAAGCGGCAGAAAACCACATATGTCGACCTGGGTGCCCATGCTAGCCTGGCACATACTCCTGTACAGGTAAGCGAGAACAGCATCACCCCAGCTGTACTGGGGTAACTCATCTAGCTGTTGAAGATGATGTAGAAAGCGCAGACTCACTAGATTTCCTGAAATGTTCGAGAACAAGACACCCCCAAAAAGAAGGAACAATGCCAACTGATAAGTAGAGATTTTAACGAGTTTTATGCTCCTTCTTGTTTATGTTTTGATTATAAATCATTACAAAATAGTCCCAAAAGGCTCATAAGTTGTCCTTGATTGCAGGTTTGATCGACAAAGTGACGAAATGTCAAAGATCGGCTCAAACAGAGTGAAACCTACTCAAGTATCAAAGACAAAGTAAACTGAGGGCAAACAAGCCTAGTGCGGACCGCACAAAATAAAATGCGGTTGTACTAGGTGATTCAGAGAGATGGCAAGATCAGGCTTCAAGCAACGCAGTCGCAGTCCACACTGCACGGCCCATGGTGAAAGTTTCGAGGCCGCACTGCCTTTTTGTGCGGTTCGCAATAGAGATATTCAGAGAGATGACAAAAACAAGGCCTCAGGCAACGTGGCCGCAGTCCACAGTGCACGGTCCGCGGTGAAGGTTCCGCGGCCGCAATGCCTTCTTGTGCGGTCCACGAAAGAGATATTTAGAGAGATGGAAAATGCTAACGTGGTCCGTGGTCATTGCTGTGCGGACCGCGACAGCTGCCTCCGCAGCCGTGGTCCATTTATGCGATCCGTGGAGCCCAAGTCAGAGAACCCAGAATTAAAGTCCAAGAGCCTAGCGCGGCTGCGGTCCATTTTACGCGGCCTGCGCTGACCCTGTAGGGGTATTTTTGTCCAGTTTTTCCAGCCTAGTATAAATAGAACAATTTATCATTTTTAGGTCATTAGATATATCCAGGACTTAGCTGCGCTCGTGGGAACTTCATCTGTAGCCATTTTTGGCATCTTAGCTTCAAGTTAACGATAGATTCTTGTATTTTCATTTAGCATTTAATTAATATGCCTTGTTCTTCATCTATTTCTCTATTTTCTTCTTCAAGCATGAGTAGTTAAATCCATTAGCTAGGGTTGTGGCTCAACCCTAGTATGGGTAATTGATGAGTGTTGTCATCTATTGTTAGATTGACTATGGGTGTTTGTTATTTAGATCAATTTTATGGTTTAATCTATGAATTGGTGGTTGCAAACACTGGTTTGTGCTAAGAGACTTGGATCTTCTTGAGAAAGAGAGCCTAAGTCTCCAAAATTGACCCAACAAGGAATTGGGATGAACTCAAGAGAATTGATAGTCTCAATTAAAGGGTTAAACCTCGAGAGAGTAATTATCCCACTTGAACCCTAGTTGCTTGAGCTAATTTGCCTACCCGTTTGGTTTCGAGAGAGTCAATTAGGCAAAATCACTCTCTCTACCGAGAGGTGTAAGAGTGGGTAAAATTGTGCAACGGTTATAGCATAAGCCCCAATTATGTCAATCGAATTTTAGTAACTTCTACCCGTCAATTAGCCACCTAGGTAATGTCACGACCCTAGTGTCCTTCTTCCCATTAGATACAACTTAACAATTATCTCGTAGCATAATCTAGTTTCAATTAATGGCTTGGTAATAGTAGTTTATAATCCAAAAACCCAAAAATGTATGGAAATAACATTTGGAACAAATACACACTTCTAGTCTAGATAGATACTCGACTCCATTCCTAGCTCCCTGTGAAAATCGATCCCGACTCTCATATCGGGTAAAAGATATTGTGACCCTCTCTTCCTACTTTTTAGTAGTGTGGAGTTTGAAGCGATCACCAACCTCGTGTACCGGTGAATATGGAGATCATCTATAATGTTCGGGTGCAATACCTCCATATGTTGTCTGATAACTGTCACAGAAATGTGACTTCCCCTCTAGCTGTAGCCTCACCCTGTGGCCTGAAACCAGTATACTGCCCCAACAAATCCAAATACTGGGCACGCGTCATAGCTCTCATATACTGGGGTAGTGCAATGGTCAGTCCATCAACACGCAACCCATATAAAACCTGAACATCCTGAAGTGTAATGGTGGCCTCTCTAGTGGGCAGGTGAAAAGTATGCTCTCCGGTCGCCACCGCTCTATCAACGCCGTGATGAGAGACCAGTCGAGCTGCAGTCGCCCAATCTCAAAAATCCTAAGGAAGCTCGTAGCACGCAGGTGATGGACTACGCAAGGATGGAAATCTCTATGCCTCAAAAAGTCCCACAAGTCGTCTGGTCTCCTGGCGCAGAGAGTCTGATCCAATAGATGTCCCTCCCATACGTAGGCGGACCTATGGTCGCCCTGTAATACTAATATCTGATCCGAGGCTAGTCCAGGATGCACATGCAGTAAGTCCATGTCGTCTACTGTAAATTAAACAATATTAATTGTGTATTTGTGTTATAATAATTAATATTTAATTATTTAATAGGACAGAGTATATAACAATGGGTTCCAGGCTCGATATTTGAGGCCCAATAGCACCAAGCTATCATAAATTCTTATGTGTGTCAATTTCAATATTTTTAGAATTTTGTTTGTGTTATAATAATTAATGTTTATTATTTAATAGGACAGAGTATATAACTATGGGTTCCAAGCTCAATATTTGAGGCCCAGTAGCACCAAGCTATTCTGAATTCTTATGTGTGTCAATTTCAATATTTTTAGAATTTTGTTTGTGTTATAATAATTAATGTTTATTATTTAATAGGACAGAGTATATAACTATGGGTTCCAAGCTCAATATTTGAGGCCCAGTAGCACCAAGCTATTCTGAATTCTTATGTGTGTCAATTTCAATATTTTTAGAATTTTGTTTGTGTTATAATAATTAATGTTTATTAGTTAATAGGACAGAGTATATAACTATGAGTTCCAGGCTCGATATTTGAGGCCCAGTAGCACCAAGCTCTCTTGAATTCTTATGTGTGTCAATTTCAATATTTTTAGAATTTTGTTTGTGTTATAATAATTAATATTTATTATTTAATAGGACAGAGTATATAACTATGGGTTCCAAGCTAAATATTTGAGGCCCAGTAGCACCAAGCTCTCTTGAATTCTTATGTGTGTCAATTTCAATATTTTTAGAATTTTGTTTGTGTTATAATAATTAATATTTATTATTTAATAGGACAGAGTATATAACTATGGGTTCCAGACTCGATATTTAAGGCTTAGTAGCACCAAGCTATCCTGAATTCTTATGTATGTCAATTTCAATATTTTTAGAATTTTGTTTGTGTTATAATAATTAATGTTTAGTATTTAATAGGACAGAGTATATAACTATGGGTTCCAGGCTCGATATTTGAAGCCCAGTAGCACCAAGCTATCCTGAATTCTTATGTGTGTCAATTTCAATATTTTTAGAATTTTATTTGTGTTATAATAATTAATATTTAATTATTTAATTTGATTATGTGTGTCAATTTTAATATTTTTAAAATTTTGTTAGTTTTATAAATTAAATAATTAAATATTAATTATTATAACACAAATAAAATTCTAAAAATATTGAAATTGACACACATAATCAAATTAAATAATTAAATATTAATTATTATAACACAAATAAAATTCTAAAAATATTGAAATTGACACACATAATCAAATTAAATAATTAATTTTTGTAAAGTGTAATTGGATAGAGTTTGTAGTTAGTAGATATTTAAACTACAGAGACTCTACGCTAAAAGGCTCTATATTTTACTATGTTAAAAGTCTCTATATTTTACTACGCTATAAGGCTCTATATTCTACTACGCTAAAAGGCCACTATTCTTTAAGTAAATAAATAATCTAAATTAAATAAAAACAACAAATATATAAACATAACATTCACAAAATTACATATAAAATAGTAAAAGATATTTATGAACAAATTTATTAACAATAAAAATTATTTCTCAACTTTTAACTATTTTTTTTAAACACTAATAGTTTAATCTGGGTAAAAATAACATACAAATTTAATCGCAAACATAACACAAATCAACGTGGAAACACATTTAAGAAAATAAATATGCATAATTATACGAGTTTCGACATAAACTAAATTGGAATACCTCGATTTATATTTTTGGAAATGTCAAAAATTTAAAATTTTGAGCCCGAAACAAAGAATCCACAACAATCGAAGGCTTGGGTTGTATGCGGGACCTACACTCTTCACTTTTTATGTGACGGGTGGGGCCCAATCAATTTTTTTTTAAAACGAGGGGGAACCGCTGAAGGGGGGATTTTTTAATTTGAACCAGTGGGTTTCTGTCGTGGGAAGAAGATGGACTTTATAATTTAATAGGAAAATGCAGTATAATACTATGTTTTCTATGTTTTACATTAAAAATGAATTATTAATTAAAATGCATTATTATATTACGTTTTACATTAACGGCTAATTTTTCGTTAAACTAAAATGCAATATTATATTGTATTTTAGTTAGAAATATAATTATTTTTAACTGTATAAAGGTATTTTGAGTCCAAAATACCATTATTTAGGTTTCTGGACGCTGTGTAACAAAGTCCAGCAAGTCCACGACCAACGGATTGATAACTGTCTAATCACGCACGCATTTCCATCTCACGTGAGCTTCTGGGCCGCTAACTGAGTAGACGTTTGGCCATATTTATTCAAAAAAAATTCAAATATGCATTTGTTTATAGAATTAACCTAATTTTTGGGAGATTTAAAACCAAAACTTCAAATGCTTATGATAACCAAATCATGACCATTTGAACTTTCTAGCTGAAGAAAACAAAAAAACAAGGACGTTTTAACATGTTAAAATTAAACCCATAATTCGTGTCCAACACATTAAGGGGTCGTTTGGTAGAATGCATTAGATAAAATGATGTATGCATTAACTTTGTGTATTAATAATATCTTGTTTGGTAGATATTTTAAACATATGCATTAGTTATGCAAACATTAGTTATACATCCTATTTGGTATTATCCTATGCATAACTAATGCATAGAAAACAATGATATTAACAATGCAATGGGTTTTAATGCATGCATTAGCTTAGTTAAAGACAAAATTGGCCTTCAAAATTTATGCTTGATTAAAATATGCTAGTTAATATATTAATGCAAGTATAAAATAATCTAAATAGCGAGAAATAAAATTATATCTCTAGTAAATAAATAAATACTTAGCATATTTCTTTTTTTATAAATAAATATTTGGTTCTATATTACAATATACGTAGACAAATCAAATAATTTTTTTAAAACATTTTCATATAAAAACATTTCTCAACATATGTTTCTTTTAAAAAGTTAGAGTGATGGACTGGTTTTGAGGGCATTTTTGTAAACAAACAATTCTTTTAGAAATTGTGCAATGCTTTAATACATCAAACCAAACAATGGATAAGAAATATGTCAGCATAACCAATGCAAGCATAACTAATCAGAGGCGGACCCAGGATTTAAGCTTTACGGGGGCACCATTGTTTTTAGTATGCCAATCACCAACAATAAAGTTCGGGTGTAACTCTTTGATATGACTATGATAATTTATCATCAAAATAAAAATATCAATATTATCAAATACCATTAACTTGATACTAATATAACAAAAGTATATTGTCCACTCATAGTTGAACTCGACGCGTTTTCATATTTTGAAAACTGTCAATAATAGCATCATTGCTTATATTTACAAACACTTCCTTCTCAAAGTAACAAACTAAACAATCATTTAAAAATGCATCACCAATACTACTATGCATTTCATCTTTGATGTACTTCATAGATGAGAATGCTCTTTCCACCGTTGCAGTTGTGACAGGTAAAATTAAAGTCAACTTCACAAGCAAATAAACAAGTGAATAAGTCTCCACAAGATTTGTCTCAACCAATGCTTTCGCCAAATCACCAATTCCTTTCAAATCAGAGAACATAGGGTCACCATGTTGCATATGCCATATGAAAGTGTCAAGTTGGCGACTAAGATCTCGAAGCTTCAATTCACCAAACTCATCGGGATAATGCTTGGCCAATGTCATTATTCTTTCCTTATCAAAATTAGCAAATGAGTTAGCCGGATTCAAGCTAGCCATACCAAGAAGCAGGTTACTACTCACAACATCAAAACGACTATTAAGCTCCAGAAGTTGCAAATCAATCACAGCATAAAAAAGCTCAACACGTAAGTAACGTGAATAAGTAACACTAGAAGGCCTACGCTTCGACTTTCCAGGAATATAGAATTCTTCCATCTTGGGCACCAAAATATCATGTTTTGCACAAAATAAATATACTTCATCCATCAATGGTTCCCATCCTTTATCTCTCATTTCTTGCAACCTTTCCTTTGTGATATCAAAAATACCATGGCATTGACAATATCTTGATTTTTCTTCTGTAATGCTTTGCTCAGCTCGTTTGACATTATCAACACTTTCAACATTAAGTGAAGCAAGATAACAAATTCAAATGCTTTAATTTTACTCGAAAAAGCTTCTGCTTGCAACCTATCATTAACATCACCTTCACATTCAATCACCCCAAGCACATGAACAATAGAAAAAAATAAAATAACAAAGTTATCCAATGTTTTACAATGTGATCCCCAACGATGTCACCTGGCTTTTGAAGCCCCCGCTCTTGATTTAATCCTTTCCCACTTTGAACTTCACCACTCTCTAATAATTGCTCCAACAATTCTGCTTGATGATCCCGAAGTTGATCTCTACACTTAAAAGAAACTCCAATTATATTCAACACGTTAGTAACAATAGCAAAGAAAGTCTCAACCTCCTTGTGTTTTTTAGCAACAGCTACAAGCGTCAATTGTAATTGATGTGCAAAACAATAAACAGAATATGCCTATGGAGTTTCTTGTAAAATTAAAGCTTTAAGGCCATTCATCTTTCCCTGCATATTACTAGCCCCATCATAGCCTTGTCCACATATTTTGGATGGACTTAATGAGTGTTTCATTAACAAAGAAAGTACTGCTTCTTTCAACGACTTTGCAAATGTATTACTAACACGAACAAGACTAATAAATGGCTCGTTCACTTGGCCTTTTTTGTCAACATACCGCAAAGCAAGGGCCATTTGTTCATGGTGTGAAATATCCTTGGACTCATCAACTAATATCTCAAAATAATCTCCATCAAAGTCATCAATTATAGCTTTCACGGTCTCTTGTGCACAAGCACTCACAATATCCTTTTGAATTTTTGGCGAAGTCATCATATCATTTTTTGGAGCATGTTTTAGTATAACTCTATCTACATCTGGAAGCCTATTTCCAAGCCATTCCAAAAGCCCTAGAAAAAGGCCTTTATTTTTTATAGATTCACTTTCATCGTGACCACGAAAAGGCAATCCAAAGTTCAAGAGAAACCTTGCAACATCAATTGAGGCATTTAAACGAATTTGATATTCAGTTTTTTGTTGACCGGATTGCTTTTCAAAAGCAGCTTGAATTGATTTGACAAGTCTAGCATATTGTTGAAGCACTTATGGTGGAAATTACTTACTTCACCAACATGTAGATCAAATCTTTCGGTTGCTTTATTCCAAGTCTTAAAGCCGGTTTTTGTGAAAGAGTCATCTGTGCTTCCATTAACGTAATTATTTTTGAATAAATAACAACATAAACAAAATGCGGCATCTTTCTTCACACTATACTCTAATCATCTAGAATACGAACCTTTAAACCAACCCGAACTAAATTGGCGCATTTTCTTCCCAAGTAAAGTTTTAGGAAATTTGTGATCTAGTTGGCAGGGCCCTCTTTGGATGTAGTTCTTCTCACTTCATCCCGTATTCTAGGGCTATATCTATCAATGGGTATTCTCTTTCCGGGGTCGATATTAAGTGATTTCACATCAAACTCTTCTACAAGATGGGAGGAATTGTCTCTACAACTAGAACTTGGTTGAGAAGAATTAAACTTCGTCAAAAATATGTTCATCTCAATTCACTTCAAGAGAACTTCCTACAAAGCAACAATGCTAAGCAAAACAATATTTTTAATATGATTAATCGCACTCCTTATTTTATTATAAGTCATAACTATATTATTATTATTTTATTAAAGATAGAAGAATCACTTACCAATTTCTGAAAGGTATCCTTGAATCCAAATACAATTTGGTCTCAAATCATCCACTTCACTGAAATAATATTTCAAATAGCATTAGCACAAATCTTCAAATACCTATGAAATTAATTTATTAAGATAAAAAATTAGCACACCAACTAGGTTAAGTCCGCTCAAATAATGAATTCAAAAACTAAAAGAAGTACACCTTTTGGGGCCTAAATCAAAGACTTTACTAGCCTCAACAAAATCAAGAAAAATTACAGAAAATTCAGAGATTCAATCAAAATAGAATAGCCAAAAGTGAGAACAAGACACAAATAAGAGGCAAGCAAAACCTTCTAGTTAAGCCCCTTCTCAATCGTATTTTAAAAGGGATTTTTTTAAACCCTAAATTCGAAACTGAAATTTACCATTAGAAAAGTGGAAACAAGATGGAGAATTCCAAGTATAATTTTCAAAATCTTGCCAAGAAAAAGATTCGGCAGCTGCTTGATCCCTGAAGAAAGAAACGTGTGAAGGTGAAGGATGAAATTTGTTTTGGGTTTAGAGGAAATAACCTGATGTGAAAGAGAGAGAAAAGGGAGTAGGCGTGTATTTTTAACTGACCGAATGAGACCCAATCAAAAAATAAAAATTGATTGTTGGAGCTAAGTTTTGAACCTGGGTCTTGAAGAAGGCAGTTACTCCCACAAACCAACTCTTCTATCCAGTCTTTGTGACTGAGGGTTCGGCATAATATATTTATAGGGGTCCTACCTGTATTAACTTATATGTAGAATATATATATACAATATTTTTACCGATGCCAACGAGTGCCCGTGACCCCCCACCCCCTAGCGTAGATCCGCCCCTGTACGGGTCCTAAATGAGCCCGCTTTCGTCTTCTTTTGTTTTTGGCGCATTTTGGCAGCTTCTTCAGCAAGCTTCTCCTTCTGTAAAGTCTAAACCATTTCTCTATTTCTCATAGAGTAAAAAATTTCCCAGGCTACCTGTAATTCTGCCCGTTCTTCTTCATTGTGATTTCTGACATGATCCGAAGAGAAATATGAGACATTCATTGGTTCAGAATCCAGGGGTATGTCATCTTATCCACCATTAATTTATTCCTATTTTCCCGCATCAGAATTTCAGTTCACTTTTCATTGGTTTGGCATGGCGAAAAAATGTTTTTCTTTGGGAAAATCATTTTTAGGAGTTTTGTTTAGTGTAAAATTTGGTGAATAAGTGTATTTGTATTTACGTTCAATCAAATATTATCAAACGGTATTTGGCTGGTGAGTTGAAAATATTTTTCAGAAAAATTATAAGTAGAGATTAATAATATTATTAGCAAATTGGAGAGTTCTTTGATGAAATTGTTGGATACAAAAATATCTGAGTGCTTGTTCAACAAGGTAATATGAAGTTAAAAATTTAAGAAAATTGTAAGAAAACTCACTTTCGCCCATAATTGAGGAAAGTCATGTTTCGCTTTTGACGGAATTAGTTTACTCTCATTTTACGATTTACATGTTATCTAATGTGTTTAGATTATTGCGTTCCAATACTTGAAAAATGGCTTCCGTTCTACATAACTTTCTCATGAAAAGCATTATATTGAAAATGATTTTAGTAGTACCAAACTACCAATCGCACCCATAAAATAAGATATGGAGATAGTTGACATATTTTTGAATACTACAGGTTACAACAATATCTGACTATCTAATGAAGTAAGTGATTTGGAATTGAAGTATGGATATTTGTTTAAAAAATGATTTCTACTCAGTACTCATAGGTGAAAGGCGTTTTCCTTAGAGAAAAGATTTTCCGCATTTTGATGTAACCACGCATAGGAAATTGTTTTTCTCAATATGAAAAAAGCATCTTCTGCGATATCAAAACCAAACACACGACCTCATTCATCGGATTATATTCAGTTGACTTAACAATTGTTATTTCGAGCTCCCTATTTGTAGTTGCCATGTCGCTCTGGTGTTTTTTTTTTCCCTAGAGAATAGATAACGAAAGAAGGAAGGAAAGGCTTGAGGCGTGATACGATTGCAATTGCATGTCTATGGGGTTAGCGGATAACGCTCCTTTGGGATACAACGAGCCTATTATCAGTTGAACTTGAAGTCTTTTATAAATATTTCACTCCATTATTACAAACTATATAGTAACATTTCTCTATGGGATATGTAGTCAAGAATATCCGATCATCAGTAATAACCATCTTAACAAGGACTTTCCAATTGTAGAGAACGAATTGGAGCTCCTTTAACTTTTTATCTCTTCATTTCTTTAGAATGTCCATGGATTTTAGGCCTATTATGTGCTTTAATAATAATAGGCCTATCAGGTATCCAAATACTGAGTATTCCTAATGCAACTCTAGCAGCGTCCTACTTTTCGTATGCTTCATACCAGTGGCTTTCAGATGTTCAATAAGTTTGTATACATTAATGTGAAAGACAATTGAGCACATTTCTACAAATTTAAAGAAAGTTGTATCCTTTTCAGGTCAGAAACTTCAGCACTAGGTTCTCTTTGCCATCCTTTATAAAGCGCGTTAACAAGTTGACCGATAGTCAGAAGGATGCTATAAGAAGGACTGGATTTGGCAGTTTGCTCCTCATTCCAGATCAAATGCTTTCTAAAAACCTATTAGTTGAACTGATGGAAAGATGGGATTATGAGAAGCATGCTTTTGTACTTTCTCCGGGTGAAATAACCATATCTCTCTTGGATGTTGCATTGATCTTGGGATTACGAGCCACAGGAAATCCAGTAGTTCTACGAGCAGATACACCTTTCTTGGATCTAGAAAGAGGATATGGTGTTGCCCTGTGGAATAGAAAAATCACTGTTGCATCATTAGAACAAAGACTTGATTCTCTTGCTGAGACCAACAATGAAGATTTTGTGAGGACATTCGTACTATTCATGTTTGGAACTTTTCTTTTCCCAAGTACGAGTGGTAAAATTGATTCCCGGTACCTTTATCTTCTTGAAAACCTTGATAACGTGAGTAAATTTGCATGGGGAGCAGCTGTTCTTGCAGATGTATTTCACTGGTTGTATAAGAGAAAGAAGGAAAAAGTTCAATATGTTGGAGGTTGTCTTATTTTTCTTCAAGTAAGTTTAACAATCTCTAATATTTACTTTAGTAAACTCAGCTAGTTTGTGTGTTACCTACGGAACAGCTCTGTTTCATTTGATGAATATTTGACAAGAAGTATTTATGACAAATATACATTGTATTCACTCTATTAACTCCAAACTGAAAACTCAAGTCCTCACTGTAATTTGAATAGGTATGGTGTCTTGAACACATTGACATTGCTCGTCCAAGTTTAATGGATTGCTGCTCTAAGTTCCCACGTGTCTGCAACTGGGGAAGTACTAAATCTCATCAGAGACACTGGTTCGCTAGCAAATTCAAAGAACTAGAGGCTAATCAGGTAATAAGGTTAACAGCAGTTGCGTTTTACTTTGTCTGATCCGGATTTAATTTCAATCTTTTTAGGGTCGTGAGAAATTGTGCTCTTGAAGAACAACATAACTTTCCTTGGCTATTTTGGCTCAGATATAAAAGCAAAAACAATCATTCTTTTGGCTATTTTAGCTCAGATATAAATTGAAGAGGACTCTGGTGTACAATAAGAGTTAAGAGTTAGTACTAAACAGACAGTAGTAAATGGAAGGAAAGTTAGGAATATGAAGGAGATGTTTTCTGATATTTCTTCTTGAATGCATTGTTTTACTTTCTTTCCCTTTCCTTCTGTTGTTGTCCCCCTTATCTCCGTTCATAGCTTCTGAAATCCAAGTTTGTGGTCTCATCAATGCCAAACAGCGCTTTTGGAAACATGAAGAGTTTTATTATGCTTTGGAAAATTAACTTCTAGCGACTCTCGCTCAATCTCCAGATTATTTGGAGCCTTGAATTGACTTCTGATGAGTCAAATACTGACATAATCAAAGAGTTGATAGAGGCAGAAAAGAGAAAAACATGGCCTGACATGAACCAACAATCTTCACTAGCTACTTGCTCTCGTACTGTAAGTCTTTCTTCCTCTTTTGACATATATTTTTGTACTTCAAGCTCTTTTATCCAAATATATTATGATAGTGATCCATTATTTGCCATATTAATTGGAAAAAATATTGTAGATTAACTTCTTTCTATTAACAGGACCGTACAGTGAAAAATGGATATCAACCAATTGTTCATTTGGTTGTTGACCTGGAAACTGAATCAGAGAGTGAAAGTAGCAGAGTGGCATATGGAATTCAAAGTCTTTCTTCTGATCCATCTGATAAATTTAGTTTACATGAAACTGTATCAAGATCTTCTGCATGCCACTATACGGGGAAAGAAAAAGAACGTAAAGAGTTTTCACAGTCTTCAGGAGCAGATATCCCTATAGTAATCAGCAGTGATGTGAGCTGATATTCTTTTTGTTTCTTGTTTATATGTTTATTTTGCTTGAATATCACTAAATGCAGGGGATTTAATGTCTGTTTATGAAGGACGATTTGGAGGATGATCTGAAGAAGAAAAACCAGACTCTGGAAAAGCAAATACTTCAACTAAAGAACAAAAATATTGATCTGATGAGAGAGAATGAAATCCTGAAATACCAACTCTCCTCGACCCTAAAGTTTAAAGAGCAGAACGTGAAACTACAGGAAGAAAATAAAAATCTGCAACAGGAGAACGTGAAACTACAGGAAGAAAATGAAAGTCTGCGACAGGAGAATCAAGCACTGAGCTTATCAACCAATACTCTGGTGAATCGATTAGACAACCTTGTATTTGATGTGATCAAGGAGGAATGTCAGTAGCATGAGATGCTTCTTTTGTTTGTTGAAATGTGAATGAAAGAAGTCAAAGTTTCTTTGCAATTCTTAAAACTAACAGTGGTATCGTGGAATGAACAAAAATCTTGTGGTATGCGAATTGGCTAGTCTATTAATAAGTGTTTCCGAAGGTTATTTTACTTAACTGCAGTTATTCTTGAATTGTTCTCTTATTAGACTGGAAGTGGCACTTCCTACATATTACTTCAGAAATGAAAAAAGATGATTGTGTCAAAATTTGTAGAAATTTACACATTGGAACTACCTAGATATACATCCTTCTCCGTAGCAATCTACCATCTACCAGAGATGGTAAACATATACCCAAAAAAAAAAACGAACCATATACACCAAAACACCTCACTTCCTTGTAATGCAGCAAGTTTAGAACCAGTATCAACTAATAATTTAACAAGGAATACTTCAATCTCAAAACAATTCTCCCTTTCTCAACACCAAGTTTTCCACCTGTCACTAACCAGTGACCAGGAGGATCTTGAGGCCCCTTACTCATCTCGGTCATGTCAACAAACTTTGCCAACTTATTACCTATAATATTCTCCCCTGTAAGAGAACTTGCATCGCCATGGTAATTCCCACAATTGACCTGTTTATTTGACTTATCATTTGGGGTGTGCTCCCACAGTGATCTTTGTATCGTGCATCCTGGTAGCCTTGAATATAGAAGCTTCATATACAACACATTTCTTGACCCAAAGTCCCAAACCCCAAGCTGAGCTCCCGTCACTATGTACACGCCAGAGTGATCATTACCAATAAAAGTTTCAGGGCACTCAATTGGTGCAGTACTCACGTGGGAGAAGTTCTTCCATTTCACCGGCTCAAACCACCTACTATCTTGCTCTTCAGGGCCCTGCCACTTTGGAGCGCCAATTGCTACATGAGTGTCCCAACATGGCAGAAGGATTCTAGGAAGGGAAGTCAGATGTTGAATATAGACACATAATCTATTCGACTTGGAACCTTCAAGAGCTAGCCGCATGCCAGTCACAGGCTTACGCCCCACCGACACCTGTAGTACAACATTCAAACAGCAGCTCAGGACATTGATACTTTATTAAATGGGAAAAAGTAGGCTTAGATGGATCAAAATAAGACTGTCATATGAATATACCATTTAGGTTTACACTAGCTAAATCGGTCTAAATGTGAGGGAAACATTAACAGCCAAAAATGGATGACTTTCATCAAGTCCCTGATCCTTGAATTCAAAATTATTCGAAGCTTTTATCGGATAGCCATCAAACCTGATGGATCCTCAGGTTGTAAAACTGGAACTAATTTGATTTACGATTGATAGCTTATTTGGAGGTAAGTTTGATTCTGACAAACTTTTTAGGAAGAAACATATCCTTTCCTTGATCAGTATAATAAATCAGCATTAACAAAAAACACTATTTTCAAATTCGGAAATCAGCATACTTGTTCTTGGCTAATATAGAGCTTTTGCCCCATCATGCTGAACTGCAGATGTGGGCAAACAGGTTCCTTCCGTTGTTGGCCTGGAAGTCTCGACTGTACAGGGGCCCATACCCTTGGGACCTGAAACTCCAGAAAATATCTCAGCTCTTCGATTTGAGGCTTGTCTGCAAGTATTCATACAACTAGAGTCATTTGTCACCATCATGAATCATAGAAATGACAAAGAACATCGATACAGAATATATATAGGAATAAATTTTTCCGTTAAACGAGATATCTTACATTCAAGATAGAGACTTATAGCGCGTGCCAGATGATCTTTCCCTTTGATCCCTTCAAGCAGAAGAGTTATAGGGAAGAATGACATCTCAATGACATCCGGAGATGATCTGACAGTTTTTGCCCATTGGGTGTGGCTTTGTTCCAGATCATCCCCTCCCCTTCTTCTGAAAATGACTGTGACATCCTGCATCAGATATGTTGAACAAAACCAATGTTTTAGGAATAACCAGCAAATGATGATATTGATTTTTGCATAACAGTCAACTGACAAAAATTACACTTATGACAAGAAATCATATAGAAGTACATAGTAGTAATTCCTTTGTCCGATTTAATTTGACAAAATTTACTGGGAGCATGGATTAAGATCTAATTTGAATTATTATTTTTTATGACAGTAAGGGGAAGAAAAACTAAAATTGTTTTAGGCAAGTAGGTTTGACTGAAAAAACACTTGTAAATGACTTACTGTTAAAACTTTGGAAGTTGTATAGAACATTATTATTTCAGAACTCTCGAAGCATCTTGGGAGTTGGTCCCAAGACAGGAAGACCATCACATAAATGGGAATGGAGGCAATATCTAATAGTCTTTGTGGGTACTACAACATGACAAATCAATTATTAAGATAAGGCTTAATATACAGTTTACCCCCAACAACAACAACAACGACCCAGTATAATCCCACAAGTGGGGTCTGGGGAGGGTAATATGTACGCAGACCTTACCCCTACCCCGAAGGGTAGAGAGGCTGTTTCCAGGAGACCCTCTGCTCAAAAAAGCA